GTAAAACACACATAGGAGAGAAAACCACCAAGCCAGAAGTAATCCTGTTAACACTTTCATTCAAGTATCTGTGTACAGAAAGTATATTGAGAAGTACAGAGGTCATTACATACCTGCACCTATACAATTAGGATTTTATTTATTTATTTATTTATTGATCAATCGATCGATCGTATTTATATAGCTGCCCATCTCACATGAAGTGATTACATTCCTAATCTCCCAGTCTAGGGTGGTTCTTCTTCCTACCCTGGGTGTTTACTGCCAACACACAATCTGAAAATCATATCAACCCTTTTAATTGCAGACAACTTTGGCAAAAAAAAAAGTCTGCTTTACCTAAAACATTTCTTAAGATTCTGCACAATGTGTGTCATGGGAACTTTCCTTTGAATATGCCCTTGGTCACAGTCTTGTGGAAAAAAATGAATGCCTGAGATCACCAATAAATGGTTTAGGTCACCCATGGAGTTGGGAAGGATGGGTCATCTCGCTACTGTTTGTGTACTGAATTCTTCTTCTAGATCAGTGTTTCTTAACCTTGCAACTATAAGATGTGTGGACTTCAACTCCCAGAATTCCCCAGCCAGAATCCTTGGAGTTGAAGTCCACACATCTTAAAGTTCCCAAGGTTGAGATACACTATTCTAGATAGTTATGGATTGGACTCAGAGATGTAGATTGAATCTAAAAGCCCCACCATAATCAAATCAAATCAAATCAATCTTTATTAAACTCATAGACCAGCATAGGCCCCATAACATAAAGCCTACACTAGCCAAGATTCCCAATATCATGGCTCATACAATGGCCACTTTTTAAAAGACATGCCTCACAATCTAGCAAATACGGGCCATGGCTGTTAGCAAAGTCAGCTCTCACCCTTAAAAACATCCTTTAAATCTGAACATTTGAATTTAATCTAATCTCCTTTTTCGATGATGATGATGATGATGATGGAATTAAAAGAGAATAATCTATGTACCCTAGCTAAGCACCAGTTTCTTGGTATCAGCATTGAGAAGAAAATAAGGGGACCCTCATTCAGTCAAACCCTTGAATTTATGGTATACACGTCTGTACCGCTGGAGTGAGGAATCTGATGAGTATAAAATAGGCCTTTGAGTGAAAGAATGTGTGTTTGTGTGTGTGTTGTCCCCAAAGTCTTGCCCTTGCTAAAACACTGTATATTAGACCAGGGTTGTTGCCTTTTTTTTATGCCTCAGGACCTAACGTGCACTTCTGACAACCCGAAAGGCCTTACTTCTGGATAGGTATATCTAGGGCAGTGTTGTCCAAACTTGGCCACTTTAAGATGAGTGGACTTCAACTCCCAGAAATCCCCCCCCCACCCCGCCGGGGGGGGGGCTTTT